GGGAGGATTGGAAATCCCTGAACCCCCTTTTATATCCTTTTATTTTTGTTTAAAAGAAAAAAGATGGCGGCTAAGAAAAAGGCTGCTGTTAAACCGGTCATGAAGAAATGCAATAAATTCCTTGTTGTTTTATGAAAATTTACAACTTTGTGATAGAACTTTATGAGTGGCTGGGTTCTGGGATTGGCCAGAGCCGGTCATGTGGACTGCTAACCGTGAACATGAACTTTTTATTATTTCCCATGTGGTTATATTGCACCATTCTTCTGTCCGCTGCACCTTGGGTCGGATCAGTGTCCTCTATAGGGCTCTCTCCTCTTTATATTTTTTTACTTTTGTGTATAAGCTCGATAGGGCTAAAAGAGGGGAGCGGGGAGGGGGGGGACAGCCCTGCACACACCCGCACGCACCCCCAGGCACCCACCTCCGTACACACGTAGCCAAAGAGTTCTAGGATTTTTGATTATTCATTTTATTTTGATTTTTTCTTTTTTTTTAATTTTTTTTTTCTAATTCCTCTCTTAATTTGCTGCTGATTTGGAATCTCGGTAGTAATGGAGGGGCAGAGGAGGTTCTGGACCGAGTGGAGGCTATCATTTTTCAAAGAGGGAAGTTGCTTCATTTTCTATGCAAATGACAGAAATGCAAGAAGCTCTCACAAGTCAGAGGGGCGATCGACGGCTCTCAGGTTGGGACAATATTTGTCAGCTAACAGATAAGCAAACGCTGTCTCCCTCTCCCTCCCTATTTTACTTATGCCACAGAAATGGACGTCAAAAGGTAAGGGAATAATATGTTTCTCTTCGTTTAATATTTTCTTTGAGAAAATGCATTTGTCAAGCTGCCTTTTCTATTCCATTCCCCATCTCCCTCTGTCCAGGGGTGGGGGAGAAAGAAAAGGGTGGGGTGATGAAGAAGGGAGGCACTTTAAGAAATCAGGGACGGTGGAAATCTGTTTATGTGACAACCTTCCAGGAAAAGTGTAGCGTAAAGGTGAGAGAAAAGGAAAGAGAAAAAAGGATGAGGAAAAGATAGAGACATTGAGAGAATGAAGGGAAGAAATGGAGGAAGAAAATAGAAAGAAATGAAAAAAAAAAAAAAGAGAGAGAGAAATTGAGAAAGAAACAGAGGATGAAAATAAGAAAGGAAATAAGGAAGAAAAGGAAAAAATAAACCAACGGAATAAGACGGAAAAATAAAGCTTTTAAGGTCACCTGGAGATAGTAGACTTGGAATGAAGGATTTTGCAGTAGCTCGGTGATGGAGGCTTTTAGATACTGCCTTTAAAAAAATACCAAACCCTATGTGGGCAATTGTGGTGGTTTATTTTTTCTCCCCTCGCAGAAGCTCTTGCCAGTTCGCCTGTTCCTCAGGCGAGCCCAGTCATTTGGCGAAGTTTGTGTGGAAGCCAGTTGGGTTTTGCTCTCCAGGGTCATTATTATGTGGGTGGTTTCTTCGGAGAGGGCAGTTCTCAGCGTCCTCGGAAATAAGGGTCTGGAAATCAGTTAAAAAAAGAAAAAAGAAAGAAAAAAAAAGAAAAAGGGGGAGACAAAAAAAAAAAAAAAAAAAAAAGGGGGAGACAAAAAAAAAAAAAAAAAAAGAAGGGGGGGAAGATAATAAGAATGAAGCCAACCCCGAGCGCAGCGCTCTCATTGTATTTCCACCACCCCCCGCTTGTGAAACTCCCAAATGAAGCTGACGTTGCGATGCAATAAACCTCCGTGTATTTAATTGCGTTCCGCGGTGTTAATGGGGTTTTACGGCTTTCCCGGCCGGAATACCGGCTCGGGTCTGAGCCCAACGGCGTGGCGGTGCTTTTCCATACCCGGTTATGTGCAAATCTCCCCTCACTCTGTGATACCCTAACGCTTGCCTTTGGGTTTAGGAAAAGGGTTGTCTGGAGATACCGGTGATTTTAAATGTGGTGGGTTTAATCTTTTTGGTTTTCCAAGATTTCATAGGGGGATTGAAATATTGTACTAATTGCTACTGTTACGAGGTGATTTTTAAATAAGATAATGTAAGAGCCTGTGTAAGGGAAGCGAGATTGAGTAAGGAGAGATTCATTACTTAAGCATAAACCATTTTATGACGTGACGATTTATCTCGCCTTAAACTGTCTGTGCCTGAATATTGTGTGAACAAGAGTAAATGATCTCAAGCCGGGGAAATAATAAACAGAAAGTCATTTTTAAAAGCTATTTCTTCCCGAACCTGTTACATTTTTCATAAATCACGAAGAAAAAACTGAATACCAGTTCAAGCGCCTGTTCTCCCTTTCCCTAAGTCCCCTCGCGTTCGTTGTTTTTGGTTTTTTCTTTTGCTATTCGTAAGAAAAATATATAATAAAAATTCATTTAATTTAGGAAGCTTGCTCCAAAACGCTTTTATGCCTATTTTTCCCCATCCTGCGTGGGCAACCACTTGTGGAAATCCC